AGGCCCCTTAAAGCACACGCCCTGGAAGAGGGACAATTTTTATTCGTCATATCGATGAACCATGTTTTGATGTTTTTGGAAATAATCTGGAGACATTAAAAAATGTGAAATTAAAGCTCAATTGAAGGTCTTGAAAACGACCTCATCTCGTTGAAAACCCTCGCGATTAGTGGAAAACTAAACTAAAATATGATAAATTGACAGATCTGGCCCGCAAATATTTGAGTGCTCCACCCGCCAGAGGTCCAAGTGAGCAGCTGTTCGGTGCAGCCGGCCTCTAAGAAACTGCCGAGGCTCTAAGAAATCGCCTCATTGGATAAAAGATAGCAAAATTATTATTTTTTAAATATAATATGCCCCTTTTGACCTTTGAGTACTAGATTAGAACACTGCATTGGTTAAGCACTCGTTCAATGTTCTAATAATTTACAAAATTTTTTAATGTTATTCCTAACATTCGCATTCGCACATTCGCATTCGCGAATGTGAAAAATATGACATTCGAAGCATCCCTATTTCATATGAAAGAATAGTGACATTTTCGAAAAAGAAAATTGGTTTTATATTCTGACAATTTCACTAGAACTATTGTATTCAATAACGAAAGGATGCCTTAAGTCCTTTGATCTGGTATAAAGAACTATAGAATCGGCTAACTAATAAAATTTGCACAGATCGCAAACTTTTCTTAAAATTGTAAACTAATTACATTGTCAGTGATAGTTCGTTCCCTTACCGCTCACCAGATATTGATAGTGAAAATTCTATTTCACTATGTAGTGCTAGTGAAATTTGAAATGCACTATCACTAACCATATAGTGGTAGTGAAATTTGAAATGCACTACCACTAACCATATATGTAGTGAAAATCTGGATTTAGTGCAGCGTGCCTAACCCTGACAAGTACTGCTACCTAGAGATATTTTTGGATCCCTCCAGCGAAAGCGAAGGCTGGGATGTAAAATCAGAAAACATTAAAAAATGTGAAATTGAAGCAGAATTGAAGGCCTATCTTAACCCTCGTCCAGGCGCATATTCTTACAACGCTAACCGGGCCCAAAGGTACAATTGTACCTTCATATAGTTTTGATATGAATTTTTACTGGGGGTTTAATTTTTTTATAAAAACTGATAACATTTAATCATTACACGTTATTTTGAACATGTTTAGAAACTTTTTGTTATGACAATTGTTTAAAAAAAAAGTAAAAATACCCAGTGGGAATTAGGAGCACGTAATAATACCTTATTAGCAACTTACTCTTCACCTGGCAGTCATTACCATTTCCCTGCCGAACGTCCCTTACTTTTACAAAGGCATGGTCGCCTTATGTAAGTAGGAATTTAGAATGTACATTTGGTATCAGACATACTTCTGAGCCGCTTTACAAAGTAAGTTACGTGTAATGCAGAGAAGTCGCTCGGAGTAGTTCGGCATTTGGAGATAACTTCGGCTGCACGTTACTTTGCAACTGACAACGTAATGTGTCGTCGGAGGTGTTCATTTTGTGCTTTACTAGTAGATGACATTGGCCATGATGACAATTTTGGTACTAAA